AGTTCGTTCAAAGACGACACACAGCCTTTACACCTGCGGTTATGGTTTGGGGGGCGATATGTGCTGGACGAAGGTCACTAGTTACGTTCATTCCAGGCACATTAAACGCACGTCGTTACATCAACAACGTTCTGGAACCGATGTTAGTACTTTTCATGCAGACGTTGCAGAATGCCACTTTCCAACAGGATAATGCAAGACCTCATACTGCTGTGGTTACAAGAAGGGTCCTGAAGCAGGTTGAATTGCAGATTTTGCCCTGATCCGCACGGTCACCAGACTTGTCGCCGATTGAACATGTCTGGAATATGATGAGTTGGCGGCTAAGACAAGTACTCAGGCCTTCTGAGAATTTGGATGAACTTCGACACCATCTTAATAGACCACTTAATAGAGAACATGGGTACAAAAGTTAATGCATGCATAGCTGCGCGTGAGGATGCAACTCACTACTAGCTTTTTCTTGAAAATGTTAGTTTTTGTTTTGTTTTTTTCAACTAAACTTTCATCGTTTCTTAGTTGATAATAAAGAATTATTTTACTGAAGTTTCCAAATTGTAGTCTAATTCTTAATGGGTGGTGTATTTTATGCGAAAGTGAGATTAGATTTCTTCCAGCTTAAGTATAAGACCTGCATCTCGCAGTACTTCTAAAACTATACGTAGCTTATCCATTCCTTCCTCGATGCTACATCGTACCTTAGAGATCCAAGTACCGTGTGTCTGGAACACTGCTGGGGCGTTACATAAACCAAAACTCATTCTATTGAACTGATTATGACCACCAGGCGTAATGAAAGCAGTTTTTTGAAAGCTCCATCCATCAATGGTACTTGGTAATAACCACTGCGTTAATCGAGACTGCAAATATATCGCTTACTTCTTATTGTTAGTAAGCCTAGCTGCCATCTATTAACGGTAGAGGATAGTGGTCCTTTACAGTAATTTTTGGTATAGAAAACACTGCAAGGCTCTCCGATTTTCTGGACCCTGGTTGTATTCCTGCTTCTGTTATCTCATAGCCAAGGTATTCGATCTTCTTAATAAAGAAATATACTCACTTTCATATGAAATCCATCGCCCACTAAAATTCAAACTACAATTTTGAAACTTCGGTAAAATAATGCTTTATTATCAACTAAGAAACGATGAAAGTTTCCGCCGAAAAAACTCAACTGTTATGTTTCCTGTACCATTGTTATCTCCAACTTTCAATATTTTCTTCCTAGCAATTAATGCATTTCTGCCCATAAAATGTCAGTTTATTTGATTGTCAAACTGTCAAGTAGATGCCTTGTAATGTCCCCAGTGCGAAGTCGCTGAAATTTTGCCACATTTTCAAGAAAAAGCTAGTAGTGAGTTGCATCCTCACGCGCAGCTATGCATGCATTAACTTTTGTACCCATGTTCTCTATTAAGTGGTCTATTAAGATGGTGTCGAAGTTCATCCAAATTCTCAGAAGGCCTGAGTACTTGTCTTAGCCGCCAACTCATCATATTCCAGACATATTCCAGACAGTAATTTTATTTAAAGCTCTGTAGTCAATACAGAGTCGTACATATTTTGGTTTTCTTCTTGGCCAAAATCTCAGGGTTGGCAAAAGGCGACTTCGCGTCTTCTATTACTTTTGCGGGTTTAAGCTTCTCAACTATGTCTTTCACTTGTTGTCGTTCGCTGTGTGGAAGTCTATACGGCCGATATAGCAGTATAGCCAATCACCTGAATATCTATTTGTATTTTGTTAGTGCAACCCAATTGGTGAATATCCTTTGCAATCAAATCCCTATAATCATCCAATAACATTTTTAGCATTTTTTTAACTTCGCAGTCAATTTCTGTATTTATAGAATCTTCAATTACTTCTTTTTTGTTAACTTCCCAGGTTGACATACTATGTTCTTCAAAGCATTGTTCTGCTCTGGTTAACTTAATTCCCTTAGGAATGATCATATCTTCACCGCATATATTTAACACTGATAAAACGGATTTACTTTCATGGTCGATTTTTATTATTAATTTATTCAAAAAGGACAAAACAAAAATACTATAACGCATTTTTACTTAAAATTTGTTTATTAAAATCTTTTTAACGCTAAAATAATAACTTTTATATGTACAGTATGTCCCCGGATCGAGTTATAAAGAGGAATTTTCTGTAAAAATTGGACTTTTTTCTAAATTGAAAATTGAAATTGAAGTTCAATTTATGATATACAACCATAGAAACCATAAATGTTACAACTTATGTTGGTGAGATTAAGTCTTTTCATGCGATGTTAACCGTGAAAGAGAGAATTTATTTAGTACTGTGCTATGGTACTAGTGAATCATGTTTTCGTGTGGTTATACAAAAATTCCAGGAAAAATATCCGGACACAAAAATATCTCATGTTGGGGCTCGCAAACTTATGAAAAAATTTTTGGAAACGGGTTCTGTATTATCCATAAAGAGGCTGATAAAGAGACTAAATGAGAAAGACGCTGCTTTTCAGATAGCTTTTCAACAAATGACATTGTTTCTTCCCAGCATTGTCGTTATTGTAGTGATGTAAATCCACTTACCCTTAAATTTTATTAGCTTACCATTCACACATTGCGCCAAATGGTTAAATTTATAATTTCGTCAAAAATGGATTGAACGAAATAGTCCTATTTGATGGCCAGCACGTAGTCCTGATCTTACAATTATGGATTTTTATTTTTGGGGACGATTGAAACAAATTGTTTACAGTGAACCATTACAAGCTGATGCAGAACTATTAAAACTAAGAATAATTAAAGCGATAGAATCTCTACCACTGGCGGAAATTCGTACTTCTTATAAAGAATTTAGACCTCGTCTTCAAATGTGTGCCGAATTGGGAGGGAATTTGTTTGAATGAGGATTTGTTCACTTACAAATAAATAATATTTATCTACGACTGCTTGGATAAGTCATCATTACCGCACTCATTTGAGGTGATTTGAGTTACGTAATGAAGTTCATTACCGCACTGGTTTCATTACGTAACGCATTTTTAGCCTAATCAGAACAGACTTAATTTATTGAAACGAGCAACAATACAAAAGAAAAAGTGCTATCTACTTACAGAGAAACAATACTATTTATTATAAACATTAATTGTTATGTTTTTACATTTCAAAACACTTATTCCAGATGAGTAAACATGTTGTTGAAACTGACAATTCAAAATTGTCAACAATCATTTCAAAATATTTTTATAAATGTCAAATAGACTTTTCTAAAGAAATTGATTTTTTAGTAATTTTTAGCAGTCGTAGATAAAATGCTGTATATCACACGTGGGCTAGAGCATAATTACAGTACTCGTGTGATTACACGACTCGGTCTACGACCTCGTCGTGCAATTCTCCACACTCGTACTGTAATTATGTTTCTAACCCACTTGTAATATAAATAACTATTATTACTTACATAGTGTGTTATTATATAAATTTACATTTAATAGTATATTATTCAACAAGCGTATAATGACGGCTGTTACCCACGAAGATGAAGGTGCAACACGAGCAAGCGAAGCGAGCGAGTGTTGTAATCTGAGTGGGTAACATCCATTATACGCAAGTTGAATACTATACTTTATCTACAACTATTTAATTTTGAAAAAAAAATCAAAAAAACGAAAAAAAATAAACTTGATAGACATTTCAGACATAACCTCAATATAAGAAAGCTGTCATTTCTGTTAATGTTTTATTTTTTTATTAGTAGGCCGTGTGAGAACTGTGGAATAATGGCTTCATTATTCAACACTTTGTCAGTCATGGGCAATGCGTGCTATTACCCGTCAAAAATCAAATGTATAACGAATAGATAATTGAATAGTTGTAGATAATAGTATATTATTATATGAGCATATAATGAGGGCTATTATTCACGAAGGTTAAGTTCATAGCTCATTGTATGCGAGTAGAATACTATACTTTGTCCACGACTATTGAAATTGATTCCATAAATTTATTTTTTAAATAAATTTTTGAATAAAGGTTAAACGTCAATGTGACACAAATTCAATGTTACTAACTGTAACCAACTTCACAACAATTTGTCAAAATTAAGTGTCAGTTTTATAAAACGTCGTTTTCTTTACGAAAATTAATTAATTTATGCTTAAATCATACGAAAAAGGAATTTGTTTAGGTTTTTTTAATGTCAAACATTTAGAAACTCCTAAAAAATTGAATTAAATTGACGTTTTTTGAACTTTTAACGTTTCAAATAATTATTATGGTCAAGATGGCTACCCGTGAATAATGATTATTATTCACCGCTATTATTCACTCCGTGAAAAATGACTACCATTTTGTTTTAGAAAACTCATTCATAAGGTATATATTATAAGGTAGTCGTGGACAAAATATTTTATTCAATTAGCTATATTTTAATTTGATTTGTCCGTATATTTTTCACTAACATAAGTTGTAACTTTTATTTTATTTTATTGGTTTCTGTGGTTACATATCGTAAATTGAACTTGAAAAATTTTTAATTTAGGAAAAGTATAATTTTTACATAAAAATGGGAATAATTAGTTAACTTCTATAGCTAGAATATAAAGTTCGTGCGATTTAGTGGTTTGAACATATCCGACGCATTATTTATGCTGAGATAAGTTTGAAAAATCAGTAATAAATTTTTTTTCCTCTTTGTAACTCGACCCGGGGACATACTGTATGTTCTAATAAATAGTATTTGTAGTTTTCGTAAATATAACATGGACGCTTTTTCAATTTTATCATTTTTTTGTGCGATTGATGAGTTTCACAAAAAATAAACAAAAACCAATAAAAACGCATTATTAATAAAAAATGTTTTAGTAAAGTCTTTTTAATAACTTTGGTATATTCTGATAGAAGATTTAAACTTTAATTTGGTGCAAAACTTGTTTCTTTGCTTGTGATTCGCTAAAACATCAAAAACCCATCATTAATTAAAATATTTTTAATAATATTTTGATGAGAATTCGCACTAAAGTAAATTAATAATTGATACAAATTTTATTTTCTTTTAAATAAATGCACGTATTGTTTAAAATGAAATTAATACTAAATATGACATTCATTACATAATTCTGTTTGATTAACGCTCATTAATATCTGAAAATCTTCTGCGCTAAATGCTATTCCATCTTTAGTCCAGATTCTCAATCCATTGCGACTAGGGCCCTCGTTTGAGGGTGGGAATACTTTTCCAATTTTCCATTCACCGTCGTGAAAAATTTTTCCGATAAACAGCAAACGTTCAACTTCATATCCACCTACAATGCAATTCTCACACAATTTTGATTTCAAGTCACGCGTATTGATCCATCTCCATTTTAGTAAATATGGTGTAGAAGTACATAAAACCTACAAATGCATACAAAGATCTTTTTTAATAATTAAACAAGCAACTGAACGATATATACCTATTACTTTAATATTATTGTTATGTTCTTGTCTTTTACCATGTGCTTCAACTATAAGCTTACGTCGGTCTGGATACAACCCTCCAGGAAGAAGACCTCCTTCTTGCATATGTGGCAAATTAAGTGTTTGGCCTATATAAATATCGTTCCCTGCAGGGTACGCATCTGAGGGAATTGTTCCATTATAATCTCTCCAATATAAATCTACATCTAAAAATTATTATTATTTATATAAGACATTCAAAACCAAATTATTCCCCGTTTAACATACCCTCACAGGAAATTTGATTATGTCCAGTAATTATCATCAAAATAAGTAAGTAATTCGTAAAGAATCCCAACATTTTTTTTAAAGTAATGAATAATGAAAACTCGGTAATCACGAAACAGAAAATATTTACCGTTCCTCCTTAATTTTCTGGTTTTTTAAGATTCGGTTTCCAATTCCGAATTCAAAATGCCAGGGACTCGACTTTTCAACCCCTCTTGATTGCGTGGAACATCCTATGTATGAGTTAACTGTAAAAGTTAAGTTAGCTTATCTTGTTTATTTATTATAAAACTTGAACACAAAAAGTACACTGAATAATAATAATAAACAATATTTATTGGTTCACATAAATAATAATAACAGTAAATACATTGGAAACAAACAAATTAAATTCGAAACAATTAACCAAAGAGAATTGAGTCAGTTTGGCTAGCACCAGTCAATGGTGGTCTGTTTTTCATCAATCGTCAAATTAAATTACTACTACTAGAAATTAAACTAAATGACACAAACGATGTACGTCACAGAATCAAAAGAAAAACAGAGAGAATAGAAGAGAAGAGAGAATAAGAAAAAAGAAGAAAAGGGGGAAAGGAACTGGCGCTATTCCGTCTACTCAAAGCCATTTTGTTGGTTAAGCAAAAGTTTTTTTTAGTTCTATCTTGACTCTTTTACAAGATAAACGTTTTAAAGAATCCGGCAGAGGGTTGTACATGTTAGACACACAATAAGAGAACGATCTTTTATAAATTTCATAATTGTGCCTTGGTATTGTTAAAGCATGCCGATGCCTAACATTGACATTGTGAACATCAGTTCTGTAGCGTATTTTATTATATAGGTAAGGCGGACTCCGAAACATAATAACTCTATGGTACAAGCATAACGAGTGAAAAGATCTTCTACGAGCCATGTTTAACCAACCCACCCAACCAAGCGAGTGAGATATATGCTCCCATCCTTTTATTCCGTAAATAAATCGCAAACATGAATTTTGTAACTTTTGAATTTTATCAGTAGTTATACTGTCCAAACAAGAATAATATATAAGAGCTCCGTAATTAAATATAGAGAATTGAATTTGTAGTTTAGTGCTTAAAATGTGCTTATTAGAGTATAACAGTTTTAAAGTGAAATACGCTCTTTGACGAATGAATACAATACCATTTAAGATTAATATTAGACTGAGCATAACCTCTGTCGAGCTCTTTGTAATAGAAAACAAAGTATTTGTAGTTGGCGAATATTGCACAATAATTAATCAAGTCACTAAACTCAAAAAACGCACGAGTAGGCATACTTGTGCGAAGAGTGCGATATTCGCCAATTCAACAAAGAAACTGTGTTTGATTTTATATTGGTAATTAAAAGTAAGTTAAACTTAGAACTGTAATGTAGTCGTCGTAAGATTAAATTAACAAAGAATGTAAAGAAATAAGTTATTTTAAATAAATTACGCTCCAAACCCATAAAGTAATCATACAGACAGGCAAAAGAAGAGCTTAAACATTACATCTTAATTTTATACCGCTGTAGTGTAGTAATTAATTATAAATAATATAATATTAATTTAATTGTTAAGTAGTTTAAGTATTCTTTTGTGCGCTATTGCAAATTCTTCGTAATAGACCATAATGTAACGTAATTACTTTTCGTTATTAAAAAGCCTTCATGATTGCGAAGGATGAGTAGCAGCAATCAATATATTAATAAGTAACATATATATAATCGTATATAATAAACACCTATTCTTTAATTTTACATCATGTTTAAATTTAAAATATCCTGATCCATCGCATGGCGATCCTGCCAGTCGAGTAAAGCAGTGGATTTATTTATTAATTATTAATTAGAAGAAGTACAATGAAAATAGGAAAAGGATATTCTAAAGAAGAAATAATTATTACACAAGCGGGCAATAGTGGCGGAGTTAGCAACGACACATCGAAGTACCACCTGACGGAGGTTATTGGCATCATAGTTGTGGGATTCTGCATTGTTTTCATCTTGTGGTGTGCATGTGTAAAAAGTAGAAAAGCATTACGTGTATACAAGTAAGAAGAGAAGTGGTTTTGAACAAAAGTTTTGAAGAATTGCGTCGTAACTAGTCAGCGGTGTGCAATTTAGTGCTCTGTGGAATGTGTAGGATGTTAACAGATGTCAATTATATTTTGGAACAGGTAGATAGATTTAAAACCAATTTGTTGACAGATACTCAGAGTAGAAGGTTAAATTTAGAATTAACGATTAAGAAAAGTAGAGAATTAGATAAGTTAGAAGAAAATTTTAACAAATTAAAATTAAAATTTAATTTAATAGGAAGTAAGAAATCAGATGTAATTTTAGAATGTGAAGGGGAAATTAGAAAAAATATAGATAATTGTATAGTAACTTTATTAGAAAGAAAAGAATCAGTTAAGTTAGATAATCTGTAATAATGACTGAAAAATTTGATCTTAAAACAGCAGCTTCACTGTTACCTGTTATGACAAATTCTGAAAGCGTAACTATTCAATTAATTGATGGAATTGACCTATATTCACAAATGCTGGATGAAGCTGGTCAAAAGTTGTTGATTCAATATATTTTAAAAACACGGCTCTCTCTTAGTGCAAAATTGCGATTGGATAACACATACAATTCTATAAATGATTTGGTTACAGATATGAAACTTCATTTCCTCTCACAAAAATCTGCTACAACGCTCTCTGTTGAATTACATAGTATCAAACAAAATAGCAAATCAATTAATTGTAAGAAATCCATATGAGACTGTTATAGTATTAGAATATAAACAATAATTATAAAAACCAAATGGGCATCAAAGTCTCAATTTATTTAAAAATGTTTCCTTTCTTGTTTTGGTCGTTCGTTCTATAATTTTATTTTGTTTAGAAGTGGTTTATTTTTAAAATAAAAGAAAATTTCGCTTCGCTATACTTTATAAGTATTTTCGATTGTGATTATGTGTTGAACGTGTTTATTCTTTGATGTATTTTACCTTTTTACACCTTTGACTATTTGGCTGATGATGACGAAAGTCGAAACATGTACCATGTAAATTTAAATATATTTTAAAAAGAAAAAAAAAATTTTAAATAAATTGAGACTTTGAAACCCATTTGGTTTTTATAATTGTTTATATTCTAATCAATTAATGATTATGGGAAACAAGTTGCCAATGGTTTACGTAGTACGGAACGAAGAACGATTATAAACGCTGGAAATTATGAGACACTTAAAGATAATCAATCTTTAAATCAATAATAATAATCAATCTAGAGCTTACGTAGCAAATACTTTGCCACAGGAAATTGAAAATAACACACAACAAAATTTAAATACGTTTTTTCGTGAACAATGAATCAAATTCAAGTCATTATTTATCAATTTTTAGTTTAAATGGAGTTAATATGATAACATTAAATTATAATTAATTTGACTTGAAATTTTTAATAAATACAGGAGCATCAGTAAGCGTTGTATTTCCAGATAAATTATAAAATTAAAACATAGATAACCATAATAAAATTAAGATAAATGGTATAGGAGGGCATATGACGCCAAATTTTATCAAACGATTTTAAATTTAACAAAACAAAAATATGGTAACGAAATTTTCAAGAAGGACAAACTAGTTTTATCACCTTGAGATGTACGCGAGTCTTCAACCGGCTCAGTGAAGAAAGGAGGGGTATTTATATGGCGCCACACAGTGAAATCAAAATTAAATAAAAAAAATTAACACCAAAACTACAATTAAAAAATGAACACTCGCCAAACAAGAATTTACAAAAAAAAATTGAAATAATATATGAAAAGTTAAAAAAAAATTATATAAAGATTTTTTTAAGGAAAATCAGATATAAAAAAAATTATTATATCCAAATTCTTCAGCATACATATCTGATATTTAATAAAGACCTTACAAAAATGCTTACCTCTGATGTTCGAGGTTTAAACAGAAGATAGAAGAAAACTTTATAAAATACGTTGAAATCCAGAATCTCCGTACAATTTGGTAAAAGAAGAACACTTTTCCAAAATTTTATTTCGGCTGATGAATCCCACAAAAATGGATTAGAAAAATTTTTACACAAAAACCAAAAATGGCGAATCAACCAAAAATTTCTTTATCACCCGAAAATACGTATTACCTCTGGTAATATAATAAGAAAGAGAGCTCGAGAAGAGCCTTGAACGGTCTTTTATACCAAAAATCGAAAACATCAAAAAAATTACATCTGCGCAAAATAACATCTTGAACTTACAACACCCTCTCAGAAGGACAAGAAGAATTTTTAATACAATAGGAGTTAACACTTTCGCGACGATTTCTTTTCTGGGAGATATAGGAATTACATAAAACTTATTGTTAGTGGGTTAAAGGGTTAAAAGAGATTTTAAAATGAATGGAATACTCAGAATCTGTTGCTGAAAAGAATAATAAAATAAAAGTTATAAACAAACAAAATGTAAATAAATCTTAAAAATAAAAATAATAAGTTTCCGAATGTATGCAACTCATAACCCATTACACATAAACAAGTCACCAACACAACATAAAAATTTCGGAATATAACAGGTACCTATACAGGGTGTATCTGAATGACGGTAACTGATTATATAAATAAAGCTATCGCAATGCTTAGTGATAATGAAGTATACAAAGTTATTGAAAAAGACCCATTGAATAACATTCAAAAACAAATTAACACCTTTATTAAATGTATACAATCACAAAAATTCATTAATGACATCGAAGCTAAAAAATTAAAAACATATAATTCAGTCTTGGCCAAAGCGTATTTTCTTCCAAAAATCCATAAGGAAGATAACCCTTTAAGACCTATTATTTCTTCTGTGGGCACCCCTTCCTATGAATTGTCTGGTTACATGGCAAACATACTAAGCTTAGCTTTTAACGACAGAACTGATTATAATATCAAAAACACTTTTCAATTTGTTAATGATTATAATGGTTACAAGCTGCCACGGGATTACATATTGATTTCCCTTGACGTTATCAGCTTATTTACGGTGATTCCTTTGGACTTGGTCAATAAAATTATAGAGGAAAAATGGGATTTAGTAGCGGACCAGTGTGGTTGGGATAAGGACACGTTTTTGTTGGGTTTGAAGTTAATCTTTGAAGCTTCAGTCTTTACTTTTAATGGAACAATCTACCGTCAAATTGAAGGAACCCCTATGGGCTCCAAAATCTCTCCGATACTGGCTCTGATAGTGATGGACCACGTCATTGATAACATTTTAAAGAAAAATAACATAAACTTCAGAATTAATTTCATCAAAAGATATGTAGACGATCTAATTTTGGGTGTTCACAAAGACGATGCAGAGGCAATTTTAAATCAATTTAACAGTTTCCACCCTAGCATACAATTCACACTTGATCACGAAGTCGACGGAGGGTTACCCTTTCTTGACACTAAAGTCATCAGAAACTTGGATAACTCGATCGTTTTTGATTGGTATAGAAAGCCTACTTATTCTGGAAGATATTTAAACTTTCATTCAAACCACACTTTTGGCCACAAGATAGCAACAGTTTTGACAATGAAACATAGAATAATGCATATTAGTGAATACAACAACAAACACAACTGAACAGATTGTTAAATATCGTAAAATTCCTTACGTAAATGAACTTACGGGTAAAATTAAAAAAGTCTTTAAGAATATTGACAACATCAAAGTTGTGGATTGTTACGATAACAAATTACAAAAATATTTCACTAAAGTCAAGGACAGCACTGATCCACTATTAAAATCAGGTGTTATCTATTGCATTTCGTGTGGGGAATGCAATGGCAAATACATTGGGCAAACCAATCAGTGGCTAAAAAGTAGGATTTCGAACAAAAGCGATTGTAGGTTATTAAAAACCTCCTGTGCTCTATCACAACATACCACAGACACAGGACATAAATTCGACTTTGATAATGTCAAAGTTTTGGACATTGAAAAGAACTATCATAACAGAAACCTCTTAGAAGTTCTTTACATTAACTACACTGATGACTCAATTAACTTCAAAACGGATACACAATCCTTAAGCAACATTTATGCTTACATTATTTCTAATGACAAAAGCAAGAATAGGCTGGCTCCCTAGACATTTTGTTTGTCCGTTTACATAAAATTTTCCTACACTTAATGTTTAACTTTTTAACAAATTAATATTTTAAAAATGTTAACTTTAAGTTTTGAATTTCAATTACAGTGTTCTCTTTATATTTTAACGCATGCGCTGGGCGTATTGTTCCAGTTTTGTTCAAATAAAACTAGAATTTCAGAATCAAAAAAAAGAAAAAACGAAAGTAAAATTTTAACTTGTATCTCGTTCGTCCCAATGATTTTAACTTTTAATTCCAAGTTTTAATTTAATTAAACGTAATAATATCTACGTAATGTGTTCAAAAATGTTTTTGGTTTATCCGCTTCATAAACAAGTAAGTTTTTAAACTTATTTTGTAAAACTTCTACCATTTTAAGAAAATTTTTTTTTCTCTTTAACAGCAAATGTAATTCGCTCTGATGAAGGTTGTAATTCGACAACCGAAATATATTAGCAAATTGTAAAAAGTTGTTCCTGTGCGTATTTGACCGTTCACCCCGAATAGATCGTTTTAAATTTGCCTACCACGGTTATCGGTCGAAGATACTTCTTGCCGAATATCTGAATGACTGCAACAAACTTCAAGGGATGATTCTTTAGTGAATTTTAAGGGTACTTTGATACATAAACCATGGACGACTTCCGTTCCCCTAAGGAGCTACACCCCTCCAAAAATGGCGGAAAATTTTGGTTTAATTTTTTTTCTCAAAAACCATAAACGCTCGGAAAATGAAATTTGGGGAATATGTTTAACTCATAATAGGGCGCGTTTTGACCATATTTGTACTTTCAACCTACCCTTCTAAACTACTAAAAGTAACCACCCCCTTTGCATTTTTGCTAAAATTTTTTTTATGTAGATGATAAATACAATCTTTGCCAGAAATATTTTTAACGTTTAAATGTCAGTTTTTCTTACTATTATTATTGTTTTTCAAATTAATTTTTGAATAAAATTCTATCGCATTTACGCTCGTTCACTCGACGTTTCAAAATTTTAAATAAAACAATAATAAAGTAAAAAAAGCATTAATATTTAAACGTCAAAAATATTTCTGACAAAGATTGCAAAGCTTACTAAGATTTTTCCATTAAAAATTCATTCCAACTTTCGATTAACAACCCTACAGCTTAACAGTTAGTGTTTGCTTAATTATTTTTTTTCTCAGAAATTATTAATTTTTAGAAGAACATCAGAGAGACAAAAACGTTTTAGAATAGTTTTATCTATCTAACTGAAATTTTTCCAATGTATTTATCATCTTCATAAAAAAAATCTAGGCATAAATTGAATGAAGGTGGTTACGTTTAGTAGTTTAGAAGGGTAGATTGAAAGTACAAATAGGGTCAAAACGTGCCTTATTATGAGTTAAACATATTCCCTAAATTTCATTTTCCTAGCGTTTATGGTTTTTGAGAAAAAGAAATTAAACCAAAATTTTCCGCCATTTTTGGAGGGGTGTATCTCCTTAGGGGAGCCGAACTCGCCCATGGTTCATATATCAAAGTACCCTTAAAATTCACTAAAGAATCACCGCTTCAAGTTTGTTGCAGTCATTCAGATACACCTGTATAAAGTCAATTGGTTCAGTAAATTTGGATTTAAGTGAAATACACTGTATAAATAAAAACATAGAAATGTCAATTCTTCCAATGATGTCACACCAAGGCCTTTGCGTTAACGGACCTTGCTGTAGCCATTAGACATGTTAAAAATAATATCAATTACATTACGCGACATTTAAATGGGAAATAGAATTTCTGCTAATAAATGAAATCTGTTACTATTAACCTTGTTTATAGATATACATACATAGTTATTCAACCGATCGAGTTGGGTTGCTCTATCTCGTGCTGCCTCTAACGGCGAACGAGAAAAACATCATTTATGAATGAATTGAATAAAATTGAAAATCCAACTTGTAGTAGAAGTTGCATACTCAGAATAAAAGATTAATTGAATTTATGTGATTGAACACGAAATTGTTTAACATATAAAATATTTAATTACTTTAAGCATTACATCTAAATATTTTAAAAAATATTTGTCCTTTTTTTATAATAGAGAACCAAAAATTAACTTGCTAATTAAATAAATCAATTAGTACTTTTCTCGGATAGAATAAAAAAAAACAATAATTATTTTCGGTTTAAATTGTAGTAAAAATATAAAAAGTCAGTTTTGATTTTTGTTCGTCCTATTGCAGACTTAATTCCAGACGTGGTAGCGCCGAGCGTTCCTTTGAGCAATTGGCCGACCGACAGTTTAATGGATCACACATATCAAACGAGTATGTAGTATAAACAAAGTTTTTTTGCTACTACCCGAGTTTGGATAAACGACTTCACGTATACAAATTCCTTCTTTATTATTTCGTCATTAAGAATTCTTTGGTTAAAATACAAATACGAAAATTAAGAAATATTAATTAGAATCAATTAAATAAATAAAAATAAAGTATTTCTGATTTTATTATACCAGTGTTTCTAAATTGATGTGAAAGATTTCAAGGATGATTTTTCAGCGAAAATTACGGGGTGTCTTTCATATAACTTTTTGTTCAAAACCCCTTCTCCTCCAAGTTATAGCCCTCTAAAATTAAGGGAAAAATGTGCAACTTTCTTATCTCTTGACATTTTACAACTAACAAATTGTTAATTTGATCATAAAAAATAAAATAATGCCGAGATCAATTTGACATAACTTCATTTCTTTGACTAATAATAATTAATCTCTGAATTAATTCACTTGAGCCTATGTATTATTTTATTTTTTTGTGATCAAACTAACAATTGTAGGAGAAAACGTCAAGAGACAAAAAAGTTGCGTATTGAATCCCACTATTTAAATCAAGTTTTTAAATAGAAAAATGTAGACGTATTAAAAAGTTCTAATGCAAACTATTATGGGGTTGATTTGTTCAGCCTCTTGTAATAACATTTTCGGGTTATAGAAATCGTCATAAAGTGTCATTTTATTAACAACAGTT